TATATATATATATACACGTTTGTTCGTTCGTTTTTGTTTTTCTATATAGAGACGAGGTCTCATTGTGTTGCCCAGGCTGGTCTCGAACTTCTGGACTCAAGCGATCCTCCCGCCTCGGCCTCCCGAAGTGCTGGGATTACAGGCGTGAGCCACCGCGTCTGGCCTAATCGAATACTTTCAACCATGCTTCTGCACTGACTTCCCATCTTCCAACCAATCCACAAATTGCAGCCAAAATTATGTTACTAAAATAAAAACTTGGAGAAAGCAGTGTGGTTTAATCTAGAAGGAGCAGAAGCTGTGGAGTCCAAAGAACCTGTGTTCCTATCCTTGTTGTGTCACTTGACACGTTCCGCACAAGGGTCCCTACAGTGTTCGTTCACGGTCTCCAGCAATCAGGATGACTCCCTGAAGGGCTGTCAAACGAAACAAACTCGCAAACTGAGACAATTCCATTGTTTGCGTAACTTTGGCCAAATCCACTCCTTCCTACGAAATATCCAGCTCACAGAGCCGGCTGAGATGCTTTCTTGCTTTAATTCTTTGAAGAGTCACAGATGTCCATTTTCCACGTGCGGCTGAAGACTGGATTTCAGAAGGCTTTCCCTCCGGCCGCGTTCACCTAGTAACCCCAGCTTGAGGATAAGGACCTGTAGCCCGAGTGCAACCCGGAAAGTGAATCTGCCCTTATAGCCTCCCTCACACCAATCGCCCGGAGCTGGCGTTTCCGCAGCCGGGGCACAACCCACCTTTTAAGAGCTGCCGAGTCGGGGAACGGAGAAAAGCTCGCGCGTGCGCAGTGGAGTCGGCTGCCCTTCCGGTGCGCGGGGCGCGGACGCGGGCACGCACAGACGCACGCACGCCTACACTTACTCGCGCGCCGCGGCAGCTCCAGCGTTCACCAGTAGCGCCGGCCGCTTCACCGAGATGCTGCGGGCCTGTCAGTTATCGGGCGTGACCGCCGCCGCCCAGGTGAGCGCTCGGGCTACTGAGGGCGTGTGATGAAGCTGACCTAAGACCGTCAGTGGAAAACTGGGGAGTCTTGGACGCTGCCTAGCCTCCAGGACAGAGGCGAGTCTTAGGGCCAACCTTGTTGGGAGAGGCCCGGGCTGGCAGTGAGGCAGCCACCAGGGAGTTCGCCGGAGTGGGATGACTTGAGGTTATTGCCACAGCAGGGTGGGGTGTGGAGAGTAGCGGGAGGCGCGGCTTCGCGGGCGTGCCATCCAATCAGCGCCGTGCTGCCCCCGTCCAGGACCAATCCTGGCTGCTGTCGTCTGGGTCGCCGGTTGGGCGCGCGATAGGTTTCCAGTGCTGAAGGTCGACGGGAGAGAACTACAGTTCCCGGCAGGATGAGCGGAGCCGTGGCTTGTTGCATCCTTAATCAGGAGGTGCGTGGACTTCTAGAGAGAGTCCACATTTTAGGGGTCAAGGTTGTAATTATCTGGAAGGGACTGTCTTTTCGCAGCTGAGAGCACCTCTGAACTACTTTTCTTAATTCAAACAAAAGCGAAAGATTTTCCTTTGTGGAGCTGAACCTCCTGGTAAGGAAAGACAAGAGTCATGACCTTGTGGCTCACTTCTGAGATTAGGACAGGGATCTGTGTCTCCAGGCGCTAGGACTACTTTGACATTCAAGGAGCCAAAACACCCAGTTACTTTTAGTTTTGCGTAGTTACCAAAGTTACTTTCTAAAATTGAAAAACCTGTTTGTATTGCTCATGATTTTCAGAAAGTTGATATTTTGGCAAAATGTAGATAGTAAAACAAGTAATGTGACTCAAGCAGTAATTGAACAGAATCTCTAGGAATAGTGAGTTAGAGATCATAAAAGTCAAGCTTTGTTTTTTCAGGTTCGCTTCTCTATTTGCTGCTAGGGTAACAGAAGCGGCCCCTTCCATAGGAAAGTGGAACGAACCTGTGTTAGTCTTCTATTGCTACGTAACAAATAACACAAATTTTGCAGCTTAAAACAACACCCGTGAATGACTCCTACAGTTTCTGTAGGAGTCTGGGCATGGATGATCTGGGTTCTCTGCTCAGGGTCACACAGGGCTGCAAAGTGTTAGCCATGCTGTGGTTCTCTTTTGGAGATCAGGGTTCTCTTCCAGGCTCATGCAGTCTGTTGGCAGAATTCAATCCCTTGCAGTTACAGGACTGAAGTCCCTCTTTTCTTGCTGCCTCTCGTCAGCCACTGCTCCCAGCTTCCACAGCAAGCTTCCCAGAGGCCATTGGTAGCGTGGATGTTTGCTTTCGTGCAAGCTACCAGGAGCTTGTCTCTCTGACTTCCAAATTTCTTTTACTTCCGTCTTTCCTCTCTAGACCCAGATTTAAAAGGCTTATGTGATTAGACTAGACCCACCTGAATGACCTCCTTTTCAGTTAATTCAGTCAACTTTTTGGGATCCCATTTGGGGAATAAGAAAACTAATTAAAACTTGGTAATAAAAAATGTACCCTTTTATAGTTCTAAGTCAAGATGTCTAAGCTTCCTGAAATTGCTATCTTATCAACTCTCAGAACTTTAATCCCCAAGCAGATGACTCTGTAGCCTCATCATACTTGATGAGGAATATTCCACTTGTCAAGATCCTTTCCACTTTATTAAACTCCATCATCTTTTTTTTTTTTTTTTGGATACAGAGTCTCACTTTTTGTCACCCAGGCTCGAGTGCAGTGGGATGATCATGGCTCACTGCAGCCTTGACCTCCCCAGTGCAAGGGATCCTCTTACCTCAGCCTCCTGAGCAGCTGGGACCACAGGCATGTGCCACCATCCCTGGCTAATTTTTAAAAAAACTTTTGTAGAGATGGGGTCTCTCTATGTTGCACAGGCTGGTCTCAAACTCCTTGGCTCAAATTATCCTCCCACTTCTGCCTCCTAAAGTGGCTGGGATTGTAGGTGTGAGCCACCGTGCCCAGCAACCCCATCTTAAATGTCTTACTGCTTTTACTGTTCCTAGCGTCCATTGTTTAGGAGGGAATAGTAAAACCAGTAAGACATTTAGTTAGTAAAAGGCTTTTTAAAAGGCAAACATGATGTCATGCCCTTTAGAAACATCCCATCACATTCAGAATAAAATCTAAACTGCCTGCCGTGGGCCTTTGGTCTGACTCTTCTCATATGTTATTATTCTACTGCCTCACTCAGATTCTCCTGGTAATCTCCAGCCTGTACCTCACTCCCTTTTCATTAGGTGTTTCTTTTGCCCTGGGCTCTACTCACACATATTTGCTTAGCTTATTACCTTCAGTTATTTTCTCAAATGTCACCTTCCCTTCAGAGAGGGCATCCTGATCCAAAATAGTATTCTGTCTACTCTTGCCTTCCCTGCATCACTGTATTTTTATCCCATCCTACTTTATTATGCTTTGTAGCTCCAAGCACTACCTGATGTTATAATGTGCATTTATTGCAGTTTCCACGTTTAAAATGTAAACTCTGCAATGGAACTGTGTCCATATAGTTTACTGCTATATTTCCAGTACTGACAATAGTCCCTGGCTCTGAGTAGATGCTCAGTGAATGTTTATGACATATATAAATGAATGAATGAATGTAATGTGTTCATTAATTCTTTTTTTTTTTTTTTTTGAGACAGAGTCTCACTCTGTCGCCAGACTGGAATGCAGTGGTGCGATCTTGGCTCGCTGCAACCTCCGCCTCCCGGGTTCAAGTGATTATCCTGCCTCAGTCTCCTAAGTAGCCACCACGCCCAGCTAATTTTTGTATTTCTAGTAGAGATGGGGTTTCACCATGTTGGCCAGGATGATGTCTATCTCTTGACATCTTGATCTGCCCACCTCAGCTTCCCAAAGTGCTGGGATTACAGGCGTGAGCCACTGTGCCCGGCTTTTTTTTTTTTTAATTAAAAAAAGTTTTTTAGACTTGGGGTCTCACTATGTTTCCCAGGCTGGTCTTCAACTCCTAGGCTCAAGTTATGTGCTTGCCTCAGCTTCCCAAAGTGGAATTTTTCTTAATCTCTGTAAGTGAATGTGACCTCCCTTTAAACATCCCATAGATTTTCAAACCTCTGATTATATGTTAGGGTTCTCCAGAGAAAAAGAAACAAGAGAGGGTGTGTGTGTGTGTGTGTGTGTGTGTGTATTGATCTCATTCTGTTGCCTAGGCTGGAGTATAGCAGCGCGATAATAACTCATTTCAGTCTCGATCAACTGGGCTTAAGCTGTCCTCCCACCTCACCTGAGTAGCAGGGACTATAGGCTCACACCACTATGCCCAGTTAGTGTTTTGGACTTTTAATAGAGATGGGGTCTCGTTCATCTCAAACTTCTGGGCTCAAACGATCCCCCCGCCTTGTCCTCCCGAAAGTGCTGGGATTACAGGAATGAGCCATAGTGCCCAGCCTAGGAAGATTTGTTATAAGGACTCCACTCATGCAGTTATAGAGGCTGGCAAGTCCAGAATATGCTGTGTGGGTTGGCAGGCTGGAGACCTAGGAGAGCCAATATTGCAATTTCAGTCCAATGGCCAGCAGCCTGGAGACCCAGGAGAGTAGATGGTGCAGTTTCAGCCTGGAGGCAGTCTGCTAGAGAACTGCCTCTTGGATTTTGTTGGGTTTGAGCCTTAAACTGATTGATTGAAGCCCACCTATGTTATGGGGGCAATTTTGTGTGTGTGTGTGTGTGTGTGTGTGTGTGTGTGTGACAGAGTCTCGCTTTGTCACCTAGGCTGGAATGCATTGATGCAATCTCAGCTCACTGCAACCTCCATCTACCAGGCTCAAGCCATCCTCTCACCTCAGCATCCTGAGTAGCTGGGACTACAGGCATGTACCACCACACCCAGCTAATTTTTGTATTTTTTTTTTGTAGAGACAGGATTTCGAGTATTACCTAGGCTGGTCTCAAACTCCTGGGCTCAAGCAAGCCACCTGCCTTTGCCTCCCAAAGTGCTGGGATTATAGGAATGAGCCACCATGTCTGGCCACTAGTTTACCAATTCGAATGTTAATCTCATCCAAAAACACGATTCAAGTTGACATATAAAATGAACCATCACAGGTAGTATCTTCCTTATTTTTATGTTTGGGCTTATTTTCATGTTTGGGCTCATCATCCTTGGATTCCTTAAATGTCGGTATTCAGTAAATGTGCTTTAGAACTCTGGTCCCTCCTGTTTTGTTTTCTTTTTTTCCTCAGACCTAGCACCATCTTTCTTCTCTTAGTCCCAGTATTGCATCACCAGGCCCAACCTTTTTGAAGTGGTCATTGAGTTTGGAAGACATGGGCTTTCCACCTAGACTAGCTCTCTCTCAAACTACAAACCTGGAAGTGGTCATTTACATATGGAGTAGTCTTTCCTGCTTATAACTTGAAACAAGAAGAAGAAATACTATTCTTGAGGATCAACCAACCCAGCTTACTTAAGACCAATTTTGATAACCCAGCTAGTTTAGGATTGAACTTGTGTGTGGACATGAGCTATTGTCTAGAATTCTTTCTTTCTGTTAGGATTATGAAACATTATGTTACTCAGTGATAGAGATAGGCCGCTTACAATGTGTGCTAGAAAGTAGTTTAGTAGATCAGGCCACCAACTGTTTGCTTCTACCCATGCTAAAATCCTCTTATTCCTTTTTTTCATATCTCTAGACCAGTAGCTTTCAAGCCATTTTGAAATACATCTTATGCCATAACTTATTACACCCAAGTGATAGATAACATATAAAATGTATTCACATATATGCAGGGAAAACTAAAGTATCAAGTTCCTGCTTTTGCCATACTGATAACTGTCTGCCATTTCTTTTTTTTTTTTTTGAGACAGAGTTTCGCTTTTGCTACCCAGGCTGGAGTGCAATGGCATGATCTCAGCTCACCACAACCTCCGCCTCCTGGGTTCAAGCCACTCTCCTGCCTCAGCCTCCTGAGTAGCTGGGATTACAGGCGCCCGCCACCACGCCCAGCTAATTTTTGTATTTTTAGTAGAGACGGGGTTTCA